CGAGTAATTCCAGAGTAGATCTAGGCCTTCCACCCGACTAATTCCCGCGTAATTCCTGGACACTCAGGCCTTCCACCCGACTAATTCCCGAAATAGGGATTGGAAATAGGGATTGGAGTTTCCTCTACAACTTTGGAGTGGTTGGGTACGCTGAAAAGTGATTCTCTTACCTGACTTTTGTTGGTTGACGCTTGTAAGTTTCTCGATGTTAAAGACAATAATTGATGTTTTTTCAACTTCGATTCTATATAGAGGTGTTGTAGTCATGGTGAGGTGGATCTTGGTCCCTCGAGCATGCTGATTCTACAGAGAACTGCTAGCATTATTTTGCATGTCAGGAACACGCACAGAGACTGCGCACAAGTCTCCAGCACAGACCAGTCAAGGAAAACACGTTTTGCAGCCTCTGGACGACTTGGGGAGGGGGAAGGTGGCTCACCTTGGACACAATAAGTTCATGTAGCTCTTCATGAAGACGTGTGTTTTTACAAAAAAGTTGTGGTCCTTCCATTATGTAGTCGACGTTTGTATAGGTCTGGGTGCATGTTTGCTATTGAATGTTAGCATTCAGGTCCGGCCCCACAGATGTCTCCCAGGTGATGTCTTATGCAGACGTATGTGTTTTACCATAAAATGGGTGGCTTCAGCTCCTGCCCCAAACAAATCTTCAAGGCGGTGTTTATACTGGTTGTGTGCGTCTTTGCAGTAAAATGTGTGGGTTCATGTCTTTCCATGTCCTTTCCCCAAAGATCTTCCTCTCGTCCACCACAAAAAAGAAGTACTTCAATAGAAAGCAAACTTTCTTCGGAAACATTTCCGACAACACAGCCTGTGGTGCCAAACGCTTCATCAGAGCCTTACGCATTTGCAAATTTGGCAGCTCTTCACCTGTAACCCAGCCGCGGACACATCAAAATCGCAATATTCCCCCAGTGTTGGACACCTGACACTCATTTTGTGCGAGAGGGCTGCGTTTCGTGGTGGCTTGTCGGCCCCGCCCCAGGCCTTAAGAAACGAGAATATCAGCGAAAAGAGAAAGAGAGAGTTAAAGAAAGAAGGGAAAAGAAAAAATAGAAAAAACGACAAGACAAGACAAGACAAGACAAGACAAGAAAGAAAGAAAGAAAGAAATAAAGAAAGAAGAAACAAAGATAGATGGATGGAAGAAAGAAAGAACAACAGAGAGAGAGGGAGATGTGAAGATGTGCATACTTCTGTTCACTGAGACTTGAGAAGGGACTGATGAAGTGACCGGTGTCTTTAATCTCAAGCTTCTAATGCAGCAGTTCTTAGTGGTAGCTCTGACCTGGGTCCTTGCCCTTCTAGACCGCCATAGTCAGGGGGAGTTGTCCTTTTTCAAGGTTCAATGTTTCTCCCTGCTGGCTCCATTCCTTCCCTGGTCAGAAGGAAATGGAGCAAAATTCTATATTTGGGAGCAACCTTTGCACTCACCCTTGTTGAAGACACCCCTGGACTTACAGAAGACGTGAGAATGCTCATCTTCCCAACAAAGTCTTCTGAGGAGAAAGTCCAGTGTGTCTTTGGGTTTAAGATTTTTGCATTCTCAACTAAATGACTAAATGTTGAAAAGTGTGATGTTTCATCAGATCTCCCTTTTTCAAGGGCCCAAGCAGAGAGAGAGAGCTATACTTTTTCAAGAAGCTCTCTCCCAGCTTCATGGCTTTGAGCCACTCCCCATTAGTCAAGAAGACATCTCCTTGATCAAACAGGTCAGTGAGCTTTGCCATATCTCCGGATCTTAAGGTCTCTAGACCTAGACTTGCAAACGTCATGCAGGGCTACGGTCATTCTAGCTTTGGAAGCTACCACCACTCTGGTTCCTTCCGATCTGTCTAGACCTTACAGTTCAAGTTGCAATCCTTACTATTGATTTAGGGTTTTCTTTTTGCCGGTCTTGCCCAGGGCCACGGCCATTCTTATGGATCCAGCTACGATTCCTCCGGATCTGCCTGGACCTAATCTTGTTCTTTTTTGCAAAAAGTTTTGCATTCGCAGCAATTGCACAGAGAGTTGTGTGAATTCCTGGAAAATGGCGCAGGGCTACGGCCATTCTTACGGATCGAGCTACCACGATTCGGGCTCCTACGCCTGGGCCCTCAATAATTTCACGGCTAAAGGTTGCAATACATCGGCTTGAGCCGGTTTCTATTTGCGTCGGGTGAGCGCAAACAGATGGATGCAAATACTGTAAGTCGAAAACTCTTGCAGATTGAAGGATTTAACTGTGGAGTTGTTGGATTGACATTCCTGTCCCGCCAATTCCAGACTGTCGTTTACTTTCGGAAAACAGTTGTCCCGGTGGCACAATCACCTTCCGAATAAGCCTCGCCAAGTCGGACCGATTGCTGCGCGATCTTGTGAATCCATCCTGAGGCTGGTTTTTGCAGCTGTGGCAGCGGTGGTCCTTTTGAAGTCCCTGGGCTTTTGCAGCTGTGGCAGCCTGGGCAGATACCTGCCATACATTGAAGAATCCGGCGGTAAAAAAAGGTTAAGTTCAGGCGCACTGGATCTTGTCGGTGAGCTCAGGGAGCGAAGCTGAATGTTTGAGCTCTTGAATGCTGCACAAGTTGGATAAATTCTGAAAGAAACATATGACATTGTGGTTTGGTGTATACGAAAGTCGGAATTTGTAGAAGTCGGAATTTGTAGGAGTCGGAATTTGTAGGAGTCGGAATTTGTAGGCTGGTAGGGTTTGATGTATACGCAAGTCGGACAATAGCACCTTGAAGAGGTTAGCATATCCAGAATATAAAGGTTAAAAAGCAAGAAGAATATAAAGGTTAGGCGTGGTCGTGTGATATAATGTGTATATCTAAATATTTATATATATATATATTTATACAGGGAGAGAGAGAGAGAGAGAGCGAGAGAACATAGCATTATATATATATATATACAACATGTAAGTTACAAGGCATCAGACCCTTGGCTTTTTGCCGCCTCTTGCCGGAGCTCGGGAACCACTCTGAGCCATGCTGGCTTCATGAGGCATTCTGGCTCACCTTCAAGCAAGGTGGACTAGAGAGCACCTCGTCAGCAAACGGAAGGCGGAATCAAACGACTATGACACCCAGTCACACCAGTCTCACAGAAAGAAACAGTCACACAAAAGTCAGTTCAGGAAGTTCAGTTCAGTATGATTCATCCAGTGCACTGAAGGAAACCCAGCAGTTCAGCAGTTCCATCCGGAGAGCTCGAGCTCCTCTTCGTGCGTTCACGTACTCTCCGATGTGCGACGGGATCCCGGTCTCCCCCCAGGCTTTGTGCTGCTCTTCGGGACCTTTGGTGTCTTGTTGTCCACTTTCGATCAGACGGAGCTGGCCATGATCTGTCTCTCTTCGGCCGGCTGGCCATGATGCGTCGCGTCCGCCGAACGAACGGAGCGATGGATCGAGTGAGGGGGGGTTTTGAGTGGGGTGAAGGGAGTGACTGGCAAGTGAGGAATGCTCCTGCAAGTGTTTAAAAACGCATGGTGGTTGGCCACAAGAGAAGTATGGCTGGAGATCATCCTGGAATCCTGGTGTTGTTCAACATTCCTGCAAGGATGTGGTGCCGAACAGACTTCATGTTTGAGGCCTTTTTTCAGGAAAATTCATCACCCAGAGAAAGTTTGGAGTCCATTGCCAAATTTTGTAAAAATCATCAGAATCATCAGATAATTCAGAAGATATATACGTATATATAACTGAAACAACATATGTTGAATATCAAGCTCACCCTCCACACACCTCTTCCTCCACAATGCCTGATCTTCAGGCTGCCAGCTTGCAGTCTCTGGAAACTAGCATGCAAGTGGTGTCCAGCATGCGGTATTCAACGAGACGACGTGCAAGTGGTTGTGTGTGGTCGCTCACAACGCAAGTTGTTCCTGATATTTCTTGATCACATCCAGGATTGTTCAAATAAGCATTTGACAACATGAATGAAGGGAGATTCACAGGCTGATTCAAAGGAGGCCGCACCGTTGCTGGTCCGCCATCGTACTATTTCTCTATGAAGTTCTCATTCTCACGGAGAAAAAACGGCGCAGGACACTCTGAGCCTGTATGGATGGCTCGGCATATGAGGGAAACCAATGAGGCAGCTAGCTCGAACTCACTCAAGGCTATTTGGGACCCACCGCCGCAATCGGGCCCCTGGTTTTGGCGTGTTCAAACGAACTCACTCGGCTGTGCAAGTGTCAGCCGAGGAACGCTTCCACGCACTCAGTACACGATTGGATGCTGCGAATGCTGGCGAGCGCGATATGTGACTTAGACGCAGGTGACGGGCAGCAGGTGACAGCGGGTCTTGCATGAAAGGTAAACATGTTCCAATACCCATACACTCCATGGGACTGCCTGCCAGGACTGCCGACTCATTGACCCCCCTGGCACCACCCCTGGCCTGATCGGCAGTCCTATGGCAGTCCCATGGAGTCTATATGGGTTATGATGTACATCACCAAGGACCTTCGGGTCGCTGCGCGACGACCGCCTGCACTGGTGCGCAACTTCTCAGACAGAAGGTAAACAAAGTCTCTCTATAATCACTCTACTTTTGGACCTTTTAAGACAAATTGTTTAGTTTTGTCTTACTTGCAATTTGCAAGCATTGTGCATTGTTGAAATTGCACATTTTTCAGGGTGCCCAAACTACATCAATTTGCAAGCCTTTTGCATGATAGACTATACGACTGCAACCAGCCGATGCATCTGATGCAATCAGGCAAGATAGACGTAGACTGCTTTCGAGGAGTCGTCACACGTGCGTCCTCTTGTTTTCCTCATGGCTCAGCTGTAGAGCATCCAAGATCGAACCGATTTGGATCGTCCGGGAGCGCCCGGCAGGTCTCCGAATGCCCCCCGAAACCGACCGAGGGCACCGATGGTTTGTCCGGTCGGTCTCCTGGTGGCGTGACCTCGCCACGGACGGGGTGTGTAGTTGAATGGAGAAGACACTCCATGTCTGTCATAGGACTGCCGCCCCAGAAAGACACCTCTGGCACCACCACCCCAACTGATCGGTCAATATACCAGGTTTTCATGGAGTATATTGGAATTGGGAAGACCCCCCAAGCAGATGGGTTTTTGGATGTGTCTTTTGGGATGGTGTTGATCTCCATGTGACCCTGGCCTGGGATGGTCGTGGCCATGGGATGGTCCGACCGAGGATCTGCGCCTGGCAAGAGTGGAGCGCCATGGAGCCCCGTTGTCCGTTGGCGGTCGAACCGGAAAGAAACAACACGCGAAAAAGAGCTCTCCGGTGGGGTTCCGAACATGAGCTCTTGGAGGAAGTCTTTGGGGAAACATAGGGGGGAAACCCTGAAAGGGACAAAAGCTGCAAGGGAATCCTGAACCGGGGGATCCAAACACATCCAAAATCATCTGACACGGAGAAGCTGGGCTTGGCAGAAGGGACTGAATCGCATTTGCTGGGAGTGCTGGGCAAAACTGGCATGTTCAACACATCACAACTGCACATCACTATGCCCACGCCGGCGCCCTCTTCTTCGTCAGATGTTAGACTGCCAGTCAGTTTCTTCCATTGGTTTCGAGTGCTTCCAATTGTCAAGTGCCAGCTCATCACATGCTCGCGATCAAGACATCATTGGCAGAACCTCATGCTCATCCTCCCTCCTCGTCTCTCCTCTATCAGACCCGATGCAACGCCGTGGCAGGAGCCGATGCAACGCCGTTTTCAGACGAATGTCAACAGGCGACGAAGTCACCGTGGGCCGTGGGACGCGGCTCTGTCCGCCGCAGCGGCGTCCAGCACGACGTCAAAGAGGGCTCTGGATTGGAAGTTTGGTGTTGGAAAAGATTGGGACAAGTGATGAAAAGCACCTTTGATTCTCCCAAACCACAATAAACCACATAATTATCCAGTTTGGAGCAGGGGTGTGCTGAAAAACGGTAGAGGTCTGCTCTGAAAACCACTTAGTTGTAGAGTTATATAAATCGCCTTCCAGTCTGGTCCATGCCATCAGGTTCCATGTAGGTCTCTTCCCGGGTGTATTTGCATTGTATACAATCGCGAGCCCCTCATCGCTAGCTCCTCATCGCTGGTTGTACGTGTGCAAACGGAGGCTTGTGCTGACCACGGAAGGCGTCGCTTGGACTCAAATAACAAGCGGTCACAACGAACTCAGGTCCGGTCCTTTGGATATGTGTTCGTTTTGCCGAATATCAAATCAACAGATACCCGTGCAGACGGGTGACCGCCGTGTCATTTGCTTTTCTTAGTCTGTCATTTACCAATCTCATGCGAAGCAACTCATGCAGAGGATCCCAAACCCACAGTAACAATGAAACCCGGAATTTGGAAACATGATTAAGGAACATGAAGGATTTGAGTGCAACACTTGGAGGCCCCAGGTATATTTCTTGTTCAATTCGTTCCTCATGTGGTTTTGGATCTCCGAAAAAGAAAGAAGAACATCTCCACAACGCATCAAGGTGAACGTGGCGCTGACCAGCGCAGCCACCGCGGGTGTGCGCCAATCGTTAGCAACGCTGCTTGGTGATGGTGAAGTCCGGGGCCTCTCACAACGTAGCGGACTTCCAAGAGAGGTTAAGTGACTGGAAAAAGGACCCTAATTACTGGGGTACCCAACTAGGATAGTCTATAATAGTCTATAATTAGTGTTCTGAAACACTTCTGTTGGTTGAGCGCAAACAGAAGATCCACTCTGTGGGTGCGTTGACTCTTCCATGGCAAAAAGGAGGGCGTAAAGGATGCTTGTTTTGGGGTGGACCGGCCTCACTCACTATCCCCAGCCTTGCTCCGGCCTCGCCCAGTTCGTCCAAGTTCGTCCTGTTTGATTCCTTTCTGTTCCAGTGTCTTTGAGGGTCTGAAAGGCCAATTGCCCAAAACCATCCTCACAAAAAACACCAGGCGAATTCCAATGCACCAGTGTCCAGTGACATTGCTCCAAAAACACCTCACAAATGAACCATGAGAACACCGGACTTTCTCAGGAAGCCCAGCTGAGCGACTGCAGCACCAGTTTGTTAGTCACTGGCAGCCACCAGTTCGACGAGGGCGACGCAAATTTGGCTAGCACGATATGTGGTAAGCCATATTTGATGTTTGAAGATCATGATAAGTATATATAACATGTTGTCGTATATTTAAAGAACATGATAAGCTGTCCATCGCGACAGACACTATATGTATGAAAATGTAGGGGTGAGCGACAGACATGTTGCTTGTAGCAAATTAGAACGCGGTTCTTGAGCCCGGAGTGCTACTTGAAAGACCAAATAATGATTGCTTTTGCAAGTGAAGGATTTCGATTGGTTGGCATTTGTGCTACAAGGCCTTTTAAATCTAGCCAACACCGGACACAACCTGGTGCTCTTTGACGACACAAACAAAAAATCATGGACCAAACTAGATCAAGATATTTTTCCAACGTTCCACGGTTGGCTGGGGGCTGCGAGTGACGCTTAGCCTCAGGAATTCGGGCGAAAACGGGGGCTGCACCGGCTGGGCATGGTTGCAATGGTTCCACCTCAATCGGTCCAATTTAACATATCTATGAAGCGATACGGATCCTATATGATCCTATCAAGTCATGTGAGCCAACGCCTCTGCAGGGAATCCCATCTTTCAAAATGACCAGAAGTTGCCGAAGTCATGTTCAAGTGCTCAGCATGATCCACTCAAGTGCTCACCATGACCCACAACTGCCCTGTAGAAGCTTGCAATGAATAATGACCATAACTGGCCATTGCTTGGAGCGGTGCTCGGGGCTTGCGAAGCCTTGAAGGCTTGCACTGATTGAGCAATACCAGTCCAGTCAATGCACTCATTGAGCTAACGGGTTTAAGCCCTGAAGGCCACAAATTATTTGTTTTGGTATGCTTTGATTCTGATGATCACCTGTCTCGTGTTCATTGGGCTCACGAATACACTATTTTATCTGAATGGCTTTACCGTACCATTGGTTGGAACATGAACTTCCGTTGAAATTATCAGTAAAAACATGTAAAAACAATGAGATGCTTTGAGGGTGTAAAATTGCCTTGTCGGAATTTCTGAACCCCCATGGAAGTTACCAATCATGGAGGCAACAGACATGGAAGCAATCAGTTGTTTGAGGAAAAGGGTTAGATAGATGTCATTTGCCATCCCCACGCCCACACCCCATATCATTCGATTTCCTGATTGTTGAAGTTGAATGACTTTCCTAGACTCTGCAGACAGTGACAGAGTTCATTTGCCTGTGGCTTTTGTCCTCCATGAACAATTGCAATCCTTCCGACGAGCACTGCTCTGCTCCAGCGCATGGCTCGTCTCCAGCACCTTCCACTCGCTCCGAACGGAGCCGTGGACGGTTGCCGTCGCCGATTCTTTGGCAGCGAAGCTGCCCTTCTGCGGCCAATCCGAGGCTGTCCGAAGCGACCCATGAGTAGTTGGAAGTTACATGAAGTCACCGTGAAGTGTGTTTTGAGCAATGTGTATCCTTTATGTAGGTGTTTGATGTTTCAATTCCACGGGCCTTTGTACGAATTAGACTATAATTCAATCTCCACACGGATGATTGCACTCGAACAGCTCTTTAGTTGGCTTAGGCATTCAGGGGAGATCGGGGGAGTATGTACACCATTGCTGTACCTAAGTTCTCTTGTTGGGTTGTATAGCAGTTCTAGCATGCTGAAGCATCATTTAAAGACCAGAGGGGGTAGACTCTTCAAGCTGTTCTCAAGCAACGGGGCACTTCTCCACCGGTCGGGGCACTTCTCGGCAGCTTTTGGAACAACGTTGGATCCTGGCGGGTAGTCTTTTGGCTGCTTTATAAGGAAAAGTTACTAGTAGTAACAAGTGCCTCGCTAGTAGTAACAGGTGCCTTACTACTAGTAACAAGAAGCTAGTAGTAACAAGTGCCTCGTTAGTAGTAACAGGTGCCTTACTACTAGTAACAAGAAGCTAGTAGTAACAAGTGCATCGCTACTAGTAACAGGTGCCTTACTAGTAGTAACAAAAAGCTATAAGCATCGGGTGGAGCCGAACGGATTGAGCCGGAGGTCTTCTTTTTGAAATCGGCTTGGCGCGGCTGATAGCCGCGCGGGAAGCCGCGCGGCTTCGAAGCGAGAGAAGCGAAGCATCCCTTGGGCTCTCCCAACTCATGGGAGTTGAGGGCGAAGGATCCATTGGGCAAAACAACATATTCAAAGAGAGGAGATCACCCCTCTCTAGAGTTTGCAACCAGGTGTAGTTAGTGCACAATTCAATTGTGATGCTGAGTGTTTCTCCCTGGCTCAAGATGCTCGACAAACCATCAATTTGGCAGCTTCCTTCCAACATCACTATGGGCATGATCCCTGAATCCATGCTTAGCAGAGCCACTTCGCTCACAGAACCAATGGGACCATGGGGGTTCAAGAAGTGAGCGCAGCCCCGTCTTTCAGCGCAGCGCCAGACTGGCGCCAGTCTGCAGCATGTGGCTTCTCTGGCTTTCGGTGGTGCCGGCGGCCAGCGCCGGCCTGGATTTGGCCAATTGGATGGGTCAGCTGCAGCCAATCCTGGGGATGCTCAGCTGCGGTGGACCCGGTGTTGGTGGCTCCACAAGGGAGTTTGGATCGAACAGCTTTGCGTTTGGGATTTGCTTTGACGCTTGTTCATTGTGCATGCCGTGTATGTATATATATATATATTCTTTTTTTGTATGTACTACATTATGTATGTGTAGGCCATCCTTCGCCTTGCATTAAGGTGTTATCAGTTATATACTATTAGAAGCAAAAAGGTAGTGTACACATGGTTCAGCAGACGTTGAGCCGTTGAGGTAGATCTTCTGCCCCTGCTGCAGGAAGAGGTTTTTTAAATGTGCTCCAGCCAATTCCAGCAACTGTAATTCATCAGTTGTTGGATCGAACAGTTCTTGAAAAGATGACTGGAATTCCTCAATTGTTGTTCCGTGATGACATTGATGTGCTTTGTGCCATGTGTCTCCCCGCCCGGTTCTTTGTGCCGATCCTGGGGTCCGCTCACTCCTTCGGTGATCTTCCGGCACTGCTACAAGACGGAAAACCAGGTGTTCGGGGTTGCTAGGTGTCAGTTAGTAGCGATATGAGGCCCAAAATCAACTTATGCAAGCTGCAATTCTGAACGGTGCACATCTCGTCCCGCGCATTTGAGCGAGAACATATAAACCAGATCAGATACTTCTTGTGGCCTTGCGCTGTTCCCTCCTCGGCAGCGCTCGCAAGCGCTCGCTGAACCGCTCGTCACCGCTCGTCACCGCGTGACCTTGCTCACCGCGCTCGCCGCGTGCCACGGGGCGGCTCGGGGAACTCAGGAACGCCACCCTGCTGGATTTGTCGCTGCCTGGAACTCATGACTCGATGACCTACGACCTATCCGATACCTTGAGCGATGGCTATGAGGGCATGGGTCCAGTGATTTCCAACATTTTGCAGCTGGGCCGAATGAAGCCGGTGTGGGGGGGGCGCACACAGGTGGAAATCAATTCTACGGGATGTTGATGTACTGTATGTTGTTTCAGTTGTTTCCAACCCTTTTTTGTAGTTCTTTTTTGCGCCCGGTTCAAAAATAAGGACCTTAGGTGTCGTCTAAGAAGCATGGATGAACGCATCTAAGCAACATGATGCAACATATATTCCAAAGTTGTGTCCCCCTGAACCGATACGTGAACCTCCAATTGATACCTGTGCCGTTCCTCCGTTTTCGTTGAGGCATGCCGTCACCCCGTTGGTGGCCGGGCGTTTCGTCCGAGAACAAGGGCAAACGCAAGGGATCAGCATCACGGACGCTCAGCCGAGTGGGCGAGAGGGCGAGCGGGCGAGTTTCGGTGGGGCTCCCAGACAGTCACTATAGGAGTCAGAGTATTCGGATGATTCGTATGGGATTCCTATGGGATTTACCAAAAATAAACAAATCTAATAGACATCTCTATATGATCTATGGAATTCCTATGGGATTCCTAGGGTGAGAAGGGCGATAATGAAAATATTAACATATCATATCGTTCTTTTTTTTTCGAGGGTGATGTTTAAGTTCCCGAACTGGGATCCCATGTCAACCTACCAATGGGTGGGCGGTTCATCTTGGAAGCATTTTAAATGAAATTGAAGAGTAGCAAATGGACTTTCGCTCTGAGGAAACCTCTTTTTGCTTGGGAGACATACACAGAATTGTGACTCAACTCTCAGGCAGTTTGAGGCCAAACCTTTCGTAGCGAAAAGGATTTGCACTCCGTTCGTAGCGAGAAGGATGTGTTTTGTGTTTGCCCTTACCTTCAAATCGAAACTATACTACACCTTAGATCACCTTAGAAGTTTTAGACACAGCTAGACATTGCAGAAGAGAAATTCCTAATTCAATATTCTTTTGTGTTTGATGCACCTTTCATTCTTTCGACCTTTTTTGCAAGAGGTGATGAGACCTCAGATATCAGGAGCCCATACATAACCTGTTTGCAATTTTCATTGATCTATTTCAGGCAGTTGATCCTTTGCAGCTCGAATCCCCGCAAAGAACATCCTGAATTGAAGTACAGCTGTTAAATATACACAGTACAGCTGTCAAACAAACATGCACAGGTATATCAAACATGTTCCTTTGAAGGCCCCACATCCGTGTTTTCCATCTCACCGTTACTTAAGGACATGCTCAACGGCGGGGCACGCTTTATCGATTTCCGCATCATGTATACTCGGGGCCCTGATCGAGCAATTGGAGAGAAGGATTGGTACTGCCTACATGGCTGCGAGAGCCAAAAGAAGGCGAGGGATGCGATCAACCCATTTGGACCCTGGTTTGGATCAATCTTCCTTCTTTTTGTTCCTAACATCTTGGAGGTGTAAACTCTATATAGTCTCTCTCTCTCTATATATATTATATATATGCACACACGCATCTACACTGTTACACCGGTAGTTGCACAATGAATCAAAAGGCTGTTGTCTCTTACGGATTGGATGGCAGATGAATCAAAGGATGTCGATCAGGGGACACGTGCTCGAAGTCATGAAATGGGCACCTGCAAGTTGCGAGAGCACGTTCTGTGGCTTGAGTACACATTTCAAGCATGTTTGTTCCTCATAACCCTCACAAAGCCTCTTCACAGAGCCTCCCCCCCAGGCAAACATGCCATCATATGCCATCAGACGTTTCTCAGAACGGTCGATGCGCCGCTGTTCCGTTCCGCTCCGTTCACGTTCCGCTCAGACGAAACATCGTTCTTTCCGCAGCGCGCATGAACCCGCCGCGAAGAGCACCAGGCCTTGGAGTATCTGAAAGACGTCCGCACGTGGCTTCTCGGGACCCATCAGTCGAGTCGACGAACACGTCGACGAACGTTCTTCCGACCGTCCGGAGACGTGGAAAGACGAGTGTAGAGAGGCTTCTGAGGGATTTGTTAGGTGTTCGTCTTTTTTCAGGAGAGGTTTCTGAGGTTTTCCGATGTCTTGTTCAGGTCACGCATCGTATGAGGGATTGCCAAGTACGTGGATGCAAAAAAAGGATGAAGGAATTGGATACAGTACTACATGAAAAAACATGTGAAAAAGATGATTCTGGGAGTTTTGTAAGGCGAGAGTTTCAGCGTTCATCATTGAGCCAGCCAAGACATAATTAGTCCAGCATCAAGGAGTGGAATGCCATCATGAGGTTTCATGATGTTTGGACATTGATGACCTTTGTATCCAGAGCTGTTCGCGAGAGTCGTGTTTTCTCAAGACCCTAACAAAATCTGCCCCAGTCCATGTTTCTTTGAGAACCAAGCCAGGTGAGTCTGGGGCGGGACCAGGCCAGAGCCATTTTTGTCCCAGAGCCATTCCGTCCGTTTCGCCTAGGATGGACGCACACCCACAGGAGCTCGTGGTGCTTTGGGCCTCACGCCACGGCAATACCGGAGCTTGTGGGACGGACCAATACCCGGACACCACGCCGCAAGTGCGACAGGCGTTTTTCAAGCAGGCTGGGCTAGCTGCGCTGGCTGGGTAGAATATGGTAGAATCATGTTGTGTACGTGTGTGGTTGTGTGATCGAAAATGCGATGTTCAAGCAACCCACATAAGCCTCGGACATAGTTAAGTCTATAAGGGAAACACTTAGCAGAAGGTGATTCCAGTGTTCCAAGTTTGATCTGAGCATCTTTCTTATCGAGGTTTTTGTCCCGAACTGAAGCCGACCGCCGGTTTGGGAAGACAATCATGTTCGCTGACTGAAGAGAGAGAGAGAGAGAGACGTGCCCAGTGATGTGCCGGTATGCCGGTATGCCCTTGCCTCTCATAGCAGTTCAGACTCACTTCTATAGGTCTCGCAAAAATACACAAATCGCCGGCAAAATCATAAAGGGTCACTCCCGGACTCAATATATTAGGGCAAAACTCCCAAACATAGGTTGTCCCAATCGCATGTCTTCAGCTTGGGAGTCTTTCTTTCTCGCTCGCCTTCCCCCCAACGAGATGCCAGTCAGTCCTCGGGCCTTTCGGCCGGTGGCGCCAGGTGCAGGAGGTCTTTGGAGAGCTGCTTTTCAACAGCACCCAACGACTGAACGAGACTTCGGTGCTTTCTCTTCAGAAGAGAAATCAGCCGATCGGCAGAGGAAGTGGATCAAATGATTCTACATGACGATTGAATTGGATGGAGCCCAAATCGCTCGACTGAATGCTATAGTATAGGATACCAGTTGATGCCATATCGACATACTCATGATCCATAATCATATATATATATAAATATAACACCTCCTTTCCACCGTGCGTTGACCCTTTTTCCTCACCCTACACGGCCGCCCTCCTTTATCAGGCGCCTCGTGTGGTTGGCCACCGACTACGTGGAGTCCACCGAGTCCTCCCCGTTGGCGGTGGATGCCAAGAGCATCGACAACCAACTGGTGAACTCCGGTCATGGCCGCTTGGACTCCACGGCGGGTCCGCCGTGGACCTGGCGATGGAGGGAGGACTCGGTGGACTCGGGGCATGGGGGCATGGAGATGGGGAACATCATAAAGGGAAAGAAGACCTGCAGAAACTCGAGGAACTGAGGACACCTGCGGAAGCTCGGGGGGAGGTGGATGAATATTTACACAGGCTCCACGGGTTGTTTCTCTCCATTTTGGGTGTTATGTTTTTGTATCCCTGCCATACTGGGGCTATTGTGGGGATTGAACTTTTGAACATTTTTGAACTGTCCGAATGGGCATCGCATTCGGGATAATCCCAACCTAGGAGACTCCACTGAACCCTGGGCAAACGGGAACTCGGAATGAACACCTCGTACTTGATGGTCCGACCATTTCTGAGCTAGACCAATTTTTCCGCTCCCAGATGTGTAACCTGAACAACTGCAGCTCAGATTGTAAATATTGCAGCCATGGATTCATCCCATCCAGGAGAAATCATCAGAGTTTATACATTCCCATGGGAGCATTGTTGAAGCAGTTCGCTTTGTGGAGTAGTCCTGACAGTACCGAGATAAACCGAAGGCTTGGGAGTCCTAACAAAACCACCTTAAAGGGTCGAACCGAAGAGACCAACAAAAACCGAGGTCTTGGAGCGATCAAGTTCCTCAGACAAGGCGAAGTCCCTCAGTTGCGGGGGAGGGCGGAAGCTTGCTTCCTCTGAGATCTCGGACGCGTTCGTTCCGTTCCGAATCAGCGGTCGTTTACTGCCGGGGGAGCCGTTTTCAAACGGCCGTGCCGGTTGGCCGTTTTCTTGGATTGGTGCAGATTGGAACTTGAAATTCTTCGAGGTATCCATAGGTATCCTGAATGTGCCTCTTCAGGTTGCTTATTTTGTTGAGGAAAACACATATAGCGTTTGAACCTATGGTTCGCTCGTCAGTGAGCGGAGCTCGTCAGTTGTGCTTCGCTTCTTTGCGCAGAAGTGGCTAAGTGGCTTAGCGTACAAGTGCAAGACATCTACAGTTATCTATTCTCCTACTTTCTATGGACATAGTATGGACATAAGCTGATTTTCTGAGCTTTTAAGTAGGTGTAGGGGTGTATATTGAGTAACCCACATCACTTTCTTTCTTTGCTTTTTGTATCCTACATACACCCCCCTGTACCCTGTACCCCGGTACCGCCTGTACAGGGATCGGACTGGGGGGCAGGGTGTTTGAAACCGGGAGGGCCACCGATGAACTCGGCAAAAGCCTGGTGTCACTGACTGGGCCCGAAAATGACGCTACATCTTGACCCACGATGATCCATGATCATCTTTCCACCTACTGGATTTCTCACCTGAACCAAATCCACTGTCAACATCCGCATGCAACTCCCTTGCACTTCCGGTTTGTCGAAGCCATCCACACATATCCACACTTCCCTCCCTTTTTGGCACCGGTTCCTTCCAAAACTACCAGCTCCACTGACGCGCTACGCTGCTACGCCTGCTCCTCTTTGCTCCGCTCCACGTCTGCTGCAGGCGGACCCAAGCGGCGTGATTCCTCTGCTCAGAATCGCTTTTTGCTCATGAGCATGGCTGCGGGCGTGGCCAAGGAGGCCATCGAGGCAGCGGCCAAGAGCCTGAGCTGAGAATCCGGCCGGAGCAGCCGTTAGTTAGTCGCCGATTACGCTCGTATACAAAGGCCATCTTGTGACATGGGGTTGGAATAGATCAAACTGGAAAAAAACAGGGGGGTACCCCTGTGCCATCCACATGCCTATTTTTCGGGTTTGTGGTCCGAGATGTGCTGCCCGAGTGGTTTGCACTGTTGGCATTTTGTGCTTGTGGTTGCTCTTCTGGTCTTCCTCTTCCAGACCAAAAGCAAAAACAGCAAATAACCACAACCACTAACCAACAGCAACAACAACAACAGCAACAACAACAACAACGAACAACCACACAGCCAACTACTACTGCTACTGCTGCCCCTTCAGTTTCTGAGCCTCAACAGCGACCCAGCCGCACCTTGCCCTCTTTGCGTGACGACTTCAACAAGATCTTTCCTGCCTTGTCACATGACTTTGCGTCAACTTGGGGTTCTACTTTCTGGACATGGAGAGCAGAAGTGCGTCCCAAGAACTGGGGGAGCCGGAGCAGTGAAAAAGGCCCGGAAAGAGGGCTTGGAAAGGTACAGAGTCTTAGAGTCGATTTTGACCAGATGTTCAAATCACATCAGAGGCTGCGTCGAAGGACATCAAAGGTGTGTTGTCATCGTGTTGTTCACAATGTATCCTTTCAGTATTGTAAGAGGAAGAGCGCGTTGTTTGCTACGGGTGCAAGGGTTGATGTGTCGTAACTTTATGATTGCAGGTTGCTCGGCTGTCCATCAACCCATTGAATCACAGAGTGATGCGAGTGTGTGTTGTTGGAGCGGAGAGAATGTAACGTTAGGGTCAGAGAGAATCAACGTTCTGGTGTCTTTGCTTAGGATTGAATTCCTGCCCAACGTCTTCGGCACTCATGATAAATGGAGAAAGGCCAGGCACAACGAACGGACAGCAAACAGGGCGCACACAGTAGACAGACCCACTGAGAGAAGTGAAACATATCATTTTTCCTTCTTGGACCTGATGGGTGGGCAATTTGCAATATTGAGCCAACATGTTCCAACACCTTTCAACATGTCATTATATTTCAAACATTGCAAACACATTCCAAGCATGTTTGGACATATACCACAGGTATCCACAGGTATCGTTTTGCTGAACACCATCCGAGCCGACGCTTCGAACGAACGAACACTCGGTGGTAGGAGTGTGCCGCGACCAGCGGTGTTCCAAATATGACCTTCTGCCCGAAGTACCTCATGGAGTGGAGTTTGATGACAAACTTCTACAACCAGACGCCCAGTTCGAAGCATTCTTTGGTGTCAATGTTGAGGAAACATAGCGCTGTTGCGGAGATGGAAGATCGGAGGGGTGGAGGAGCATTCAGAAAGCTCAGCTCCAGAGGCGTATTCCCTTATGGATGCCTTAGACCGTCTCTAAATGAGAAACGGTGTGCATGTCACAGATGCCTCTATAGGAACTAACTGCTTGTCAAACAGAACTGTTGCAAGATGCGTTTATTTTCCCAACTTCAGGTTTGGGATGTGTAGGGTCTTAAGCATGCAAGCCTTGATTCATGTCGACAACCCTGGGATTCACATGGTTTGACCAAGTTGCATGGGTCTTTTTGTTTTTGACAATTTGACCTGCCTGGAGCACTTTTCCCTTTAACCCTGCAGAACACTTCGACGCAAACCAACATAGATCATTGTTCAAGGCCGAAAAGTATGCTACTTGAGTTGCATGCATTTCTCACTTCATGCCAAACACTTGAACTCTGGCGTACGTCCGACCGAGGAAAGTGATCGACATGGCGTACGTCGAGGGCGCTGCTGATCTGGACGTGGATTTTCCCAACGCCATCTACCTGGATGCCATGGACCTTGGGGGTCTCATTCGCACAGGTACAGCACCTTGATCTGCCTTGACCAAGCAGACGTTGGGACATTGGTCGATTTCTGTCGTGCTTGACCAAGCAGCCCTTCGGAACCGCCCTTCAGTTGGGATCATACTTTCTTTGTTTCCTTTCGAAACATCTCTTTCACATTTTGATATGTTTCGACATGCAACCTACTGTACATGGAGTTCACATGTTCTACCATGACGTTCATCTTAAACAATGAAACCTGTCCCGGGCTGAGGCGACAATAAACCCATTGGAGGACCGATCGATGTGACATGCAAAGTATGACAAAATACCCATCGGCACAACAGAGCATAAACCATGTTTGAACAACAGATGCAAGTAAGTAAAGACATGCACAAGTAAATATAGACACTGACGAAGGGAAAGACGACACCTGCTGTTTTGGGCGTTGTGGCTATGCCGCGGCTGGTGCTGCTATGCAAGGTTCGTTGATGATAGGTGATAGGTGATGATAGTAGGTGACCTTGTTTTGCAGAAAAGGTTCCTTGAAGAACAGCTGTGTTCTTTTGGGGTGGTTAAGAGACCCCCCTTCGGCCCGTCTCGACTTCTACGACTTCGGTCCGCTTTTCGGGTGAGCTGTCACACCGGTCAGCACAGCTCTCACACCGGTCAGCACCCCAAAGGAGGGACCGGTCCATGGCACCGATGGATTTGCCTATTCCGCCACGGTGATTGCGGCCACGGTCTGACGTCTGTGTCGGCGGATCCTCGGCGGACCGGGCGGTCGGTCTTGCCTGAAGCGGCGTTGACCGGTGGACCGGAGGTGTTTTTGAGGCCATTTTTCCAACTACGAGAAGGTGTTGTCCATTATTGTACTACTGAATCTGCGACAGTGTTTGTTTTAACATATTTTAAATATGTTTAAATGTTTTATCCATTATATGTTGCATTGCTTTATGATGGTTTGTACCCCCACCGCATGTCTTCGTTGCTTTGAGATTGCTTGGGATTGACCAGGGAGATCCGCGGAAGACTTTCTGCGAACGAAGACCTTTCTGCGTGATGTGTCCGTTCGACTGACCCTACAGTAACAGTGGGTAAAGATTTAGGTTACACTGCACTCCTTGAAATAATCGTTGAAGTGAAAGACCTTGGAAAACCACCTGTTTGTAGAGGAGAATGATAATCTAAGGGCCCAAACGGGCTATCCACTGCCATGATTGTTTCAGGGATTGTGAGCGGCTGTTCGCTGTGGGGGGAGTGCTTGGGACATCCAAATTGGGTCGAAGTGTCTTGGATTAAAACATCGCCCGTTGTCAGCGGTGGCAAACATGAACAAGGCTTTAATATCTATTCCGGAAGAATCGAGCAAAATAGAGCTGCGTGAAGTCTCACCACAGCAGGACGGAAAGTCAAGAACAATCAAGAACACATAGAGCAGTTAGAAGTTGTATACCATATATATATATAGATGCGTGTATCGTATATAGTCATATAGATATATATATATATAATGACACTAAGACCATCACTATAGACAAAAACATAGAAGAGACGAAGAGACATGTTGCCGTGTCCAAGATTGAACATCTTGGCAAGCATTCACCAGGACACCATCTCCAAGTGGGTGTTCTGACCTGGCGACGCTCGTGGAAGCAGAGCGAACGAAACATCCGCTGAGCCTTTGGGATGACCCTTGCTCAAATTGGCGGAGGATCCATGCACACACTGGACCCATGACCCCTGGGGACACAGAATTGGTCATCCGATGTGGGATCAGAACACATGTGCCCCAATGGTCTTTGGCGATGTTGGATCTAGTTTGTGAGTGGCATACTCTTGGTGTATCAATAAGCTTGCTTTATGTTGTACTTCGCAGAGGTTGATCCAAAGGAGCTGCGTCTTCGAGTCTTTCCATATTCTTTTTCTGAAGGTCCGCGTCATGTTCACAGGATTTTCTGAAGGTAACTTTCTCGAGTCCGAGTTCAGAAAATCGGTTTCATCCGGGTGTCGAAGTGTTCTTGAAAAGGACAGGAACCGGAAGTGGTAGCATGACAACTCAGAGGCTATCAGCACTCCAACCTCTTTAAGCGAGATGAGTCAAAATCACCGGAAAGTCAGAACATCGTCACAGCACCCGTCACTGTCACAGCAACATATCCACACCGCGTCACCGTCACCCCCTCGATCTGCCCCTCGTTTTGGGAACTCCGGCCGCCGCTGGTCGGGGTCGCTGCGAACGCGTCGTTTCGGCCGAAGGATCCTGCGAACGGCCGTTGCTTGGTGCGAGAGAGACCAGCGGAGAGACGAGCGATGGACGAGAAAGACCAGTACCAGAGTCCCAGACCCGATAGTGGATGAGTGATTTATTGGTTGATGAGTGATTTATCAGTGGATTTGCTCGTTTGTCCATGAATTGATCAATGTCATTTGCAGTATACTTGTTTTTCATGGTTGGTGAACAAATATGATGCTCACACAATGGCCTCTTTTGGTGTTGAAGATTTAGTTGTCCAACGTTTTCCACCCATCAGTGATCCAGCGAAGTGGGGTTGCAGGCTCTGGACTGCCTAGATTCCTTTGGCCAACAGCAGCTTCAAAGTGGAACAGATGTAACATACCATGTGTATTAAAAGCTATTAAAGGATGTTGTATATAACATATATATATATATCATATATACATAAAGGCAAGACCTCACATGTTTTCTTGGTTTTGTGGTGTTTGTAGCTCCTTGTACGCTGAGAACTCTGACAGGCACACCCCTTTGTATTCACCGTTAATTGGGAATGAGGAAATAGATGTTGGTACCCTTTTAGCAGGTGCAACCCTTAAAGTGTCTTGAATTTAAATGGATCAAAGCGACTTGGTTAATTAAAGAGTTAGGTTCTCCATTGCATGTTACTCTCTTATTGCAGTGTGAATGAACATCATCAAGGGACAAGCAACCCAATTTGACCCTACTCATGTGACGCACAGTTAAGCAAACAACCACATTGCTATACAAAGCCCCAGGCGATCTTGCTTTGATTTACCCTCAGTCAGATGGCTTGTAGTTCTTCTCGCCCTTCTTGTATGTTTGAGGTCTTTCTGGTTGGCCATCCCTTCGCAAGGACATCGAACACTTCATTGTTTGAGAGGCCTGGGATGGCCCAGGAGTTGGCAGGAGTGGCCTCAATGAAAAGGCTGTTCATCCGGAACGACGTCTATTGAGCCTATACGAACCCTTCCGGTACGAGCATGCATACTGCCGAGGTGATCACCAGTATACTCGCACTGTTGTTTGCCAGCATTCCTCAAAGTTGCCAGGAAGAGTTCTTGGAAATGCCACCTTCTACTGAGTTCTTGTATCTCATGATTCACAAAGCTATTCAAGTGTGTGGCCGCAGATGACAGAAGCGGATGTACTGAATCACTGACGCAAGAAGAATCACAAAGGTAGCAGCACAGCAGAATCAGATCTACAAAGGTAGCAGCAGGAAGAATCCCCGACGCAATGAAGGCTTGCAGGAATGAACCCTTCTCACTTCATGAAGGCTCGCAGACTCTCTTTGCCCATCACAAGCATCTGCAATTGCAGACTAAGGGCCCTTTGGCAGACTAGGATACTAGACTAGGAGCTTCACTTCTCTTGTCAGGTCTCGGGCGTTAGATGTTGAAGATGACATGGTTTGGTAGAAGAACAAACAAAGAACCTATACAAGGAATATACAATACACGACTTTCATGGTCTTAGTAGAAGACTCAACACTCGGCGTCGTTCAAAACCCCGTGGTCTATGTCCTTTCCTTGCCTATCTCATTGGACTCCGGCCGGAATGGGCGGTCGGTCGCTTCCGGGTCGGTCCGGAAGCTCCTCTGCAGGTTCGTCGTGACGGGGCACCGATCGATCCTCAGGTGGGCGTCGGATCCGGCGACGCGGTCGACGTGCAGCGGGGGATGCGACGTGCTAGGATGGAACAAAGATAGGTATAGGATAGGAATAGGTATAGGAAGAACTCCCAACAGGATAGGATAGGTGGCAGCCTTTCCTTGTTTTGTGTAAGAACTCCTAGGGATCAAGAAAGTTGGTCTCCTTTCATTCCAGGAAAAGGGCAAGATTTGGCTCATGGAACAGGAGCGGCCGTTCATTCCAGTATGTGTTTCTTTCTGTCATGGTAGGTCATGGTAGGTAAAGATTGGGCAAACATGGAGTGTGTTCATACGATCCGAGTGATCCAAGAACGGTTTCTTTGTGGATCTTTGTAGCTTCCCAGCAAAGCACCTCGCTGGTAAAGCAAGAAGTTCTTGTAACCCTCATGGAAGATTGAGGCAAGAGACATCCTCTTCCTGTAGGTTGGTGGCTTCTGAAAAAGCCCCCTTCGTGATATTATTCATCTAAACGAAGCAGATGCGTTGAAGGCACGGGTCAGCTCAAGCATCCAACCAAGGTTGGTGGTTTTGGGTGAGCTAAAAGCGGCTGTTTTGGAGCACGTGAGATCCAACACCCAACAAGATATTTTTGGAACCCAGCATCGAAAGACCCTCCTTATGTTGGTGTGTGTGGGTTTACGAAGACCAAAGCAGGCGGAAGAGAGCTTAGGGCAGAGAGGGCGAAGACGAAAGAGAGAGCGTAGAGAGGGCGAAGAGTATGTGTATTCTACATGCACGAATGGCCACTGAACGCCAAAACTAAGTGAAAGGACTTCAAAGAAACATCGCCCCCCAATCTTTGGTGGTAGGAGTGAGCAAGTCGGAGCATCCAACCGCAGCCATGGAGGATGTTTCGGTCATGTTTGACGAAGGCCGTGTTGAAGTCAAGGTCAACTCCGCGGTCTTGATGCTGGCTTCCCCGGTCTTCCATAGCATGCTGACGCAGACAATGAAGGAAAGTGAAACCAAGCAGATCGAGTTGCCAGATAAGGATCCTGAGGAGTTCAAGGTGTTGATGTCCTTCTTGATCCCCCCAACTGCTCGCCTGCAAAGGATTTCAGTGGAGAATGTGGACTTCCTCTTGGTGTGGAGTGATGAGTACTGCATTGATCCATTGAAGTCTGAATGCCTTGAGTTTATCCAGACGCAGCCAGCTTCAATCCAACGAGTGCTTCAGGCTTATGCCTTTGACCTACACGAGTACTTGGACCAGTGCATTCGCGAGCTCCTTGCTGCAAAGACAGAGGATTGGAGCCCTTGCTACGGGGAGCAGAAACTCGTGCAACAAATCATGGAAAGTGCTGTGAAGTTGCTCATGTCTCATGTTCATAAGGAGGGGAAGCTGGACTTTGGCCACCACTTGCAGTGCATCAAATGTTCACGCGCCTACAATGCCGGATGGCAGTGCTCTCAATGCAAGTACAAATAATGTTGAAGAAGTTGAAGAATAGTGAATGCTGGCTCACCTGACTCTATGCCATCGGGATACGCAGGTCCAATTTAAATCTCAGAGGCAGACCTGGCAGCCTTTTGTAGAATGCTCTTGTCCTTTGCAGTCCGAAAGAATGATGTGTTCGACATTGTGTTGCACGGGGGCTTATGCGAATCAAGTACTGTGTCTTTCATCTATATAAACGTCCCTGCATCTATCCTCAGGAGGAGCTTATTCTCATTTCCACACACTAGCAGCCACTAGGTACTCAACTTGGTGTCAGAGGAGTCTTGGTGTTAAAGGATGTTCAAGGTATAGGCCCCTCACCTTGGCTCCGACCTTCGCCACGCTCCTCCGCCGGGCCAGGCCTTTGATCTCTGGCGGTCGCCCGACCTTCTTCGCGGCCGAGGGGCTGAGGAGAAAATGGACGTGGACCGCGGAGTTCGCACGCGCGTACGTACGTCGGGCAGTCCTGGGAGTTCGCCCAGGCGTTTTTGGGAGTTTTAGTTTGAAAAGACATTGCGCCCCTGACACTTCCACAGCAAGCCCTAGAGAATCGGAACTATTTCTTACTTCCCTCGATTCGCAAGATCTAGTGGATCAGGATGATCAGGCATATATATATATATTTATGAGATTCTTCTAAGGGTTGCCTCCAAGAAGCAAGCGTTTTGCCAGCATCCTGTCGCCGCCGCTTGCTGTCACTTGACCCGTTTGATTTCGCTGGGCTCAAACTTCAGAGGCAAAAGTTTCCCGTTTCACGGGTTGGATTTCTAGATGCCAGGCCCGAGCTTTGCAGCCTTGCCATGAAGATTCAAGTGAAGCAGCTGAATGGGACAGTTGAGGAGGTGGAAGTAATGCCAGATGCTCGAATGCATCCATCTCAGTGCTTGTTCTAGTGGTTCCATGTGGTTCAACATATTGTTGTGGTTCTATGTGTTCTATCATAGTTCTAGTGCTTCCAGTGCGGCTATGTCTATATGTGGTTCGTTGTGTCTACTATCATATAATTACAACGTTCCAGGCTTGCAGGAGCCTCAGCTCCCAGGTGAAAATGATCTATAGTCAAATCTGTACCCTCAATTGGTGGATCTTCAGGTCCAAAAAGGGGCCCAGGTTTCGACCCCACAGAAACCCATGGCACAGAGGCCAAGCAAGACTTTTTTTCTTAATTGTTTCTCGAGGCTGGAAAAGGCTGGAAAGAGCCATTGGCCACAGACTTCCGATTGCTTTTTCCCGACCCCGCACAAGGCACTTGGGCCATAGACTTCCGATTGCTTTTTCCCGGGCCTGGAAAAAGGAACTGGGGCTGCCGACGACCGAGAACATCCAGGGAAGATGGGCCCCGTGTCACCACCATTTCTGCTTTTGCTCAGCGGTGGAAAAAAGCAGCTGGGCCACAGAGTTTCGATATTGCTTTTTTCCAGGCCCGGCAAAAGGAATGGGCCCACAGACTTGCGATTGCAACTGGACCACAGGCTTCCGATGCCTTTTCCCCAAGTGGCAACTGGGCCAGAATACGCAACTGCGCCACATAGGGAGCAGGATGGGCCACGCTTCCAGGTCCTCTTTTTGCTTCTTCCCGGGCCTAGAGAAGGCAAATTGCCCGAACCTAGGCAAACAATTGACCCACAGAGATCCGAGCCTGGAAAAAGCCACTTGTGGGTGACGGACTTCCGATTGCTTTTTCCCGGGGCTGGAAAAAGTGATTTGGCCACACGCTTCCGATTGCTTTTTTCCCATGCCTCAAAAAGCAATTAGGCATGCTTTTTAGTCGACCCTGGAAAAGCAATTGGGCCACGCAGACTTGCAATTGCTTTTTCCCAGCTCGGGAAAAAGCAATTTTCCGGCCACAGACTTCTGATTGCTCTTTTTCCCGAACCTGGAACAAAGCACATGGGCGGCAGACTTCCATTGCTTTTTCCTGGGCTGGAAAAAGCAACTTATTTGGCCACACGCTTCCGATTGCTTTGTCCCGCTTCCGATTGCTTTGTCCCGGGCCTCAAAAAGCAACTAGTCCACAGACTTGCAGTGTGCTTTTTAGTCGACCCTGGAAAAACAATTTTTCCTGGCTTGGGAGGAATTTCTGACCACAGACTTCCGATTGCTTCTTCCCGACCTTGGAAAGGCCATTGGGCCACAGACTTCCGATTGCTTTTTGTCTGGAGGCTAGAAAAAGCAATTAGGCCACAGACTTCGGATAGCTTTTTCCGGGCCTGGAAGAGCAATTGGGGCCACAGACTTCCGATTGTTTTTTTCAACCTTGGAAAAGTGCAATTTGGGCCACAGACGTCCGATTGCTTTTTTCCGGTCCTGGAATATACCTTTGTGGTGGGGAATTTCACAAGAATGGCGAAAGGTCTGCATTGCGGACGCGAAAGACGACGTGGCAAAACCCCACCACTCTACTTATGCTTGCTGGAAGCACGCAAGCAGCTCAGGCCCCCTGCTTCTTGGGATCACCACCTCTGTGGCAGCAGCTCAGGAAAAACTCGCCCACCAGCTGCAGATGCAATTTGCCCACAAACTTCCGATTGCTTTTTCCCACCCCGGGCAAAAGCAAGAGGAAAGGGGGCTCGAGCCCAGGACCTTTTGCTTGTAGGCCTTATTATGGTTTATCCATTAGACAACAGTTCCTGAGCCTATCCCTGGAAGCAGCAAGTGGTCTGCAGAGGTCAAATGTTTTTTCCCGGGCCTCAAAAAAGAAACTCGCCCGAAGGCTTCCGATTGTTTTTTCCCGCTCCTGGAAAAGCAATTGGGCCACAGACGTCTGATTGTTTTTCCCGAGCCTGGAAACAGCAATTGGGCCACTAAGTTTCGATTTTTTCCCAATCCTTCCGATTGTTCAAGCAATTGGGCCAGAAGAGGGGCAAGAAGAGAGAAAAGAAAAGAGAAGGGATGAGCCGGAGTTCCTCAACAACAGCTTGGTTCCTTGGGGGTCTTTAGTTCCAACGAAAAACACTTTTCGCCGACAGTGGGAAAACCCCACGCGCAAAATTAGCTTGCGAAAACTTCGCAAAGGTCCTGCGAAAGGCTTGTGAAAGAAGGACTATTGAACAACCCCCATGTATGGACAGTTCAGTCCACCTGTTTTTTCCCAGGGAATTGAAGTAGTCAGGGGTCAAAACCTGGAGCTCTAATCCCTGCTAGGTTGACCTAGTTGTGTAGCTTTGGGGTTTGAACGCACTAATTATGAGAGTTTTCACTTGCGTTGGCATGCTTCTTTACGTCCTTTCTATTTGTTGATTCATTGACGATTCAAATATATAGGATTGTATCAACTTCCAAATATTTCCAACAGATGCAATTTCATATTGGCGGTATTTGGCTCGAATGCAGCACTTGTAGTTTGCCTTCCCTCTTTTGTGCTCCCTGATAACTCCAACCAGGCAGTTCTCTGAATGTCGCCGTAGTGAAGGGACTCTTCTTCATTTTTGCCATGCTTGGCGTTGCCTTGCAAGGCTGCGGCTGCGATGAGGATGCCACGAACAGCTGCTCAGTGCTCGTCGCTGCCGATGCGTATGCGAACCTGATTACCGCTTGCGCCGCTGCAGAAGCGTCGCTGAAGTGCATTCCCGACCACGGCTGCTGCGACCTTGAAGTGGAAGGGAGGCGGAAAAGTACATGATTGAGGGCCTGTCACGGTCGGCAGGGTGCAATATAACCAATGCATGCTGATGGCCGGACGGCAATTAGGTTGGAGGCCATCGCTGACTAGAGACTTTGGTCTGAAGAGCAGCTACTTCTCCCTCCCAAGCGCGCAGACTTCTGTATGGAGGGGCCTCCTAAAGGTCCTAGCTCATCCCACAGATCATATGAGAGAGACTGCTATAGCGCCGCTACCGCGCTGAATTTTTTCCTGTGGAAGGAGGGTAGATCCTTGCTTTGACTTGCCTTTCCAGCAAAGTCTGCAGGGGGGTTGAGAGCTGATTGAAATGTCGGTCATAAAAGAGATTTATCACTTCCCTTGAATGTCGTCAAATGCTTTTGCCTCCCAACGCTTTTGATGATTGAACTTCCTGCCCATGTGCAATGCATTGCTTTTCTCTCCGACATGGGTGAATTGATGACGGTATGTGGATTTTGTTGATTGTAGGAGTTATGTTCACTCCTGAGATTTTGGTGCGATCCAGCAAGCTACAGACTTCCGATTGCTTTTTGCAGGGCCTGGAACAAGCAATCGGACGTTTGCAACCCAATTGCTTTTTCAGGGCCCTGCACAAAGCAATTGGACCAGAGTTCCAATTCTGTTTTTCCCGGAAAAGCAATTGGGCCGCAGACTTCCGATTGCTTTTCATTAGGCTGGAAAAAACAATTGGGCCACAGACTTCTGATTGTTTTTTCCCGACCTTGGAAAAAGCAATTGGGCCGCAAACTTCATAGGGGTACCCTAAGCACATGTGAGTACCCTGCGACGAAACACATCACATGGAAGCGGAACATATCCTGTTCGTCGAGAATATTTTGTTTTTTCCGAGTCGTAGCGGTTGCCCTCTCCACTTCCATGCGATGTGTTCGTCGGAACCGCTGAAGCTCGACGGTTTACTATTTTGTTCGGGGCATGCACGGTTGTTTTTTGCATCGAACATTTGAGACTGTCAGTTGGGGACAGTTGTGCATTGTTGATGAGTAGTTCATGTTTGACTTATCACTTGCTTGACTACTTCAGTGCGCCATCCTCCATGTATGATATTGTAGACAGAAGTACTACCCTCCCTGGAACTAACATGGAAACACCTGTTGGTAGAGGAACATTGTTTTTCCAGAGGCCATGTTCCACTTCCATGTTCGTTCCAGGGAGTGTCTCACGGTGCATCCTATCATTCAGTCCATAAAACCAATTAAAACTATACCGCTCTAGTTCTTTGGCCAATGAATTGCTGAGGCTGGAGGATGAGAAAACAGTCACAGATGTAGGCATCTCTCCTGGTATGGAGGCGGGGATGGGCCGAAACTCCAAAACCATTATGGACCATAGAGTTAGTTTTGGAGAATGTGTATTTTAGCTCAAGATCAGCTGAACATGTTCCACACATGTAATGGATTCCAGATGTTGAAGCCTATCCAGTTTGCACACTAAAGTTCTAAAGTTCCCTAAGTCCAGGTTATTTTAGTCCAGGTTGCAAACTTGCAGGTGCAAGTCCTTTTTGCCATTGATTGGGTCGATTGCTGCAGCCTACGTGATTCCGGTCGAAAAGAGGATTTGTTGGCCGTGCATTTCCAGAGGTTCATGACGCTTCATTCCAGATCAAGCGTTGAAGACGGCTGCACTTCCTTGGGAAAAAGCTACTTATTCCAGACTCAATCACTTACATTTCAGACAGTGCATTTGAGAACTGTAGTGCGCTGAAGGACTTAGCCATCCCCAATTCTGTCACGTACATAGGACACTATGCCTTTAGCGGGTGCACTTCATTGACAGAAGTAAGTATCCCAGACTCCGTGACTTGCGTTGAACATGGTGCCTTCAGTGACTGCAGTTCATTGCAAGACTTAGAACTTCCAGACTCGGTGACTGAGATTGGACATGGAGCTTTCACCTATTGCACCTCACTCCAACGCTTGACGATCCCCAAGTCAGTGACCTGAACGTTGGTGAATCGTGCATGGAAGAGGGTTGCAACTGATTGAGAGATTTGATGCTCCCAGAGTCTATTGCTCATGTTGGTGTGAATGCATTTCCTAGCCTCAGCTCATTGGATTCGGCGCAGGTGGTCGGGTGCCCAAGCAGCTATTGAGCCAGTGCAGCTCAAGCTTTCCCCTTCAAGCCGGCACGCCAGCCACCTCGGGAGGTGAGCCTTTCTGAAGCTTAGTTCGTCACACCGTCCTTTGGCATGGTGGTACAACAGGCAACCATATGGTCGGCCACCTATTGATGGTGCGGCACTTCAAACGCCCGCCACATGTCGGGGCGATGTCGATGGTGAATCGAGGTACGGACATGTCCGGACCGCGACCGACAGATCGGGCTCCGCCAGAAAAAAGGCGCCGCAGATCCGGTCCAAATGTGTCACATGGTGCCAATCGAACTTCATGGTCATACGGTTCTGGAAGCCTAAGGTGAGGACCGTTGCTGGGAGAGGCGGTGGTGTGTCCCACCAACCCCACCAACCTCTCCATCGCCCTCAAAAGCGGAGAGAGTCTGCTTTTCATGCGACGATCTTCCAGATCTGGTCGGGCTTGGTTCATTGGTTTGGCCATGGGCCGAAGAATTGGGCCAGATGACTGGATCGATGAATATGGTATGGACTACATGTGTGACTATACAGTGTGTCTTTTTACCACTCCGTCAACCTCAAAAAGAGTTTTTTCCGTGGTTGGATCGACCTGTAATTATCCTGCATTCTGTGTGGGGTGTTTGAGGCCCAAGGCGTTGAGTGACTCGATTTGTCGAGTTCAGGTGGTCCCTGATGACGCTAGTGAGTTGAGAGGTGCCTCGTGTTGACGTAATGCTGCAGTTCAGAGATTGCATACGACAGGGATTCAATGTTCATGGAGTTTTACATTTGGGACTGGAAGGTGATCCCATGATCGATGTTGCTTTGGGGCTCACAGTGACACAGCCACGTCCGGATCTTCAGTGCTTTGTTGAGGTTCTCCAAATACCAGGGCCGGGTTTTGCAGGTTGCCCTGGACTGGAAGCACAGCAACTGTGTTTATTCCCCACATCTTTGTGTGTGTGTGTGTGGTTAGGTTCTTACCTTTACTGCCCTTACTGTACGCATCCCATCCTTTGCCTCCTTCCGCCTCACTCTTCTCACTTCTCACACCAGCTCAACTCACTTACACTCACTCACTTTGCTAGCACTCACACCAACTCAACTAACACCACTTGCACTCATCATGTTCACTCACTGACTTTCACCAACCTTGTGTTTCCCTGCATTTTGCTCACGCCAAACCTTCCGGGTCAGGTATATAACATGTTTTAAAGATTTGAACATCGTGCAGTGCTTTTCGCCTGGCAGAGAACGCCATGGTATGCCGATGAAGATTCAAGTGAAGCAGCTGAACGGGACGGTGGATGAAGTGGAAGTCATGCCAGATCCTTGAAAGCAAGATCCGTATTGCTTGACTATTGCATGAGTCGGTGGAGCTCAATGGCCCTGGTAGATATAGTCGGGATATAGTCGGTAAAGTCCATGAACTTGGCCTCCATGGGTTCCAGGTTCCCGGCCTCCAAAGGATTTTGACCGGAGTTGGGTTTGTGGAACCACGAACCAATGGGTTTTAGTTTAATGATTGCTCTTCCCAGTGGTCTTTGGGGGGGGTCCCTATTTTATACATCTATATGTTATACTCTATCGTATAACCAACCATTTAATTACGTGTGTATATTATATATACGTAGTTTGTTCAAACGAATACACCTGCATATTCCTTCAGCCGCATGGTGCAGGACTCCGTGAGAAGCAAACCGTTCTGAAATTGAAATCCAAATAAATGTTACCGTATCATGTGCCAAATGACCAAATTCATGGTACATAAATGACCAAATGACCAAATTCTGGCCTTGATATATCATGATACATCATCAAACTCAAATATTTCTCATCAATATGTGGCCTAGTGGCTTACAGTATATGAGTTGCTTCATTGGACCAACTTCAGACACATGAGCAGGAAACAACACATCACACGAACCGCATAGCGCCACCTCGCTATGAGTGTGTGTGTGTGTTTTCTGATTGAGAGAACACCCAGACAGTCACAGCGACAGCACTCTGCAGTGGTCGCACAGACAGAGACCTGCAGCAGTAGGAGCTTCCACGTGTTGGTCTTCATGGTTTTCCTTAGATTCGACAGCCCTGAGGCGGTCACCATCCGTGAGTTCAAATGGCAGCTGAAAGACTTGCTCCCTGCGCGGAGAGTGAGCACGGTCGAGCTGATCTTGGGGCTCAACAAGTTGACTGATGAGTCGAAAACAGTGGAAGAGGCAGGTATCTCTGATGGGAGCGAGGCGAGGATGCGCCAAACCACAAAGAAAACGGACTCAAACAGACAGCTTGGCTCTGCCGGTGGAGAGAGGGTGAAAGAGATTCTCCGTTTTTCGGCTTTAGCCGTTGGATGCAGTTGACAAAGATCCGGGACGAATGACTGCCCTTCGGACAGTCATACAGGCTGGGGGGCTGGGGGACAGGCGTCACAAACTTGATATCCATGTCTTTCAATTAGTGCAATGTTTGCGTTTTACAACCCAAATATTCCCCAGCTACCCTATTCCCAGCTTTGTCCAATTCATTGATCCAGGTGCGTTCGGTGCGTTCGTTTCCAGCTCAACCGATCCAGGTGCAGGTGCTCTTCCGGGCCATTGATCCAGTCGAATGTTCCCACGGTCAAGACGTTTGTCGTGTCAAGCCTGGTCGCATCTCCTCATTGCTGGCGGTGAAGATCCCCATATCGGTGACAGAGATCCAACGGCACGCGTTTTGGAATTGCAGGGCCTTGATGAAAGTGGACATTCCTGATTCCGTGACTTCGATTGGCCCTGGTGCCTTCAGATATTGCAGCTCCTTGGTGGAAGTGACCCTTCCGAACTCTGTCACTGTCATTGGGGACGAGGCCTTCAAGGACTGCAGATCATTGCCTGAAGTGATGATTCCCACTTCTGTCACATACATCGGAGAAAGTGCCTTCAAAAGATGTTGCTCACTCACAGCTTTGACCATCCCCGACTCTACGACTTTCATTGGAGGTGGTGCCTTCAATGAATGCCGCTCACTGAGGGAGTTTACAATCCCAGAGTCCATGACTCGAATCGAAAGGGCTTGCTTTCAGAACTGCAGGTCGCTTAAGAGATTGACAATTCCCAACTCTGTGACTCACATTGACTGCAGCGCCTTCGAAAGTTGCAGATCATTGACAGAAGTGACGCTGTCCAAATCTGTGAAGCACATTGGAGACTTTGCCTTCAAGAAGTGTACCTCTCTCATGGCTTTGCGCATCCCAGATTCAGTGACTTGCATTGGAGTCGAGGCATTTAGCACTTGCAGTTGCTTGGTGGAATTGATCATCCCAGATGCTGTAACTAGTCTTGGAGCCAGCGCATGCTACGATTGTGCCTCATTGGTGGAGGTGAAGGTCCCCAAGACCATGATGCGTATTGAAGATGGTTTCCTCCAAAACTGCAGCTCCCTGATGAAGTTCACAATCCCTGATTCCGTCACTTTAATTGGAGTTGGCGCTTTCAGCTACTGCAGCATGCTGAAAGAATTGTCCATCCCTGATTGTGTCACGCACATTGGCGACCATGCCTTCAAGAACTGTGGATCATTGCTAGAATTGGCCATCCCCAACTCTGTGACTTTTATTGGCGATTGTGCCTTCAAGAACTGCAGCTCGCTAGCAAAATTGATCATTCCCAACTCCTTGAAGGGCATTGGAGACTATGTTTTCCACTTTTGCACATCACTGACAGAAGTGACAATCCCCACCTCTGTGACACACATTGGCGACAGTGCTTTCAAGAGTTGCAAATCGCTCAAGAGATTGACACTGCCCAATTCTGTGACGCACATAGGAAAATCTGCCTTCTGTGATTGCACGTCCTTGGAAACAACTTTGCCAGACTCTATCCGGCACATTGGGGAGGATGCCTTCGCAGGAACAAAGACCTCTGTCGCTGGCCTTCCCAAAAGGCGAAGGCTCGCGAAGGCTTCTGATTCAAATCGTTGAAAAGGACGCCCTCAGAGCAGGAGAGGTTCTGAACAAGTCTCGAGGTCCACCATCCTCTGGTACTGACAAGAAGACATTGACACCAAAACCAGGGATGAGGGTGCCACGCGGAACAAGCATCCTGCATGATTAGCTGTAAATAGGTTTTGGAATCCAAGGGATGCGTGGCAAGTTGCTCAAGACTAGTGGTATGTGTTTAAGAGTTTAAGACTTGCTGTGATCGACCGGTTGCACAAAGTCCAACCGATGCACAAAGTCGTTCACCCACCCTGCACATTCACGTCATGTTTCGATGCTGAGCCGGCCGTCACCATTCCCGATCCTGTACCCTAAGGATCCAAGTACCCTTTGAGAAGGTGTTTGGGGTGGGTGCCAGGAGGGTCCAAGTACCTTTTGAGGAGGTACTTGGATCCCTAGGGTATGTCATGTCATTCTTCCAAATTCCGACTCAACTACGTACATGTCCTGGAATAAAGGAGAATGTCTCAGCTGAAAGTCAGCAAGCTAAGCTGCACACCGCCCAGAGCTGGAAAGTTGCTTCTTCCGGGACGATGGAAACCGATGCCTTTCTTTTTAGACATTTTTCTTCTGGAGGTGACAAAGATGTGGCACAACCCAGCATATGTGTCAGCAGCATGACCACTGCAATTCTGGGATGGTGCGGAGAGAAACACTCCAAACCAGTACCAATCATGATATATGGGCCGCTTTGTTCCTCAAAAAGGACAAACCAAAATGTCCATCGAGGCTGATCTGGGCAGAAACCATACTTTAGCAGCCGAGACTGAGACGATTCAATATAAACCTGCCCCGAGGTGGATAATCGAGTTGAAGCGTATTGGAGTTTGAGGTTTGATCCAGATATATGGACATGTGATATAAGTAATTATATATAATATACATTATCATACTATACAATATACATAATATAGGAGACCAAACCAAACAAAATTGAGCAATCAACATTGATTAAGATGATGTTTTGTTTGGAGGGTTGGTTTTCCAGTCACTCTTCATGTTTCTCCAACAAACTTAAATGGCCCCCACGTGAGCAGTACTTGTGCAAGCCAGCTAAAGCTCGCCGCGCTTGTAGCACTTGGAGCAGGGCAAGCCATGGCCATGAGGATCCGAGTGAAGCGCTTGAATGGGGCAGTGGATGAAGTTGAAGTGCTGCCAGATGCCCGAAGTCAACAGTTTTGAGTCTTTGAGTTTTGCTCAGACGCTGTCCCCTTTGCAGGCGATTTGCCGGCATGAGGCATTGCATCACGAGTCTAGTCAAATCATGTAACTCGTCACAGGGTTGCGCGCAATGACATAGGCATGTAAAGGGCACAAAGGTAGAAAAACGCGCTTTTGTATACATGTAACACAACCTATTAAAGGTAGAAAAGTTTCGTTGATGCCGTGATGCCCATTAATTGTATAGCCAATTATTTTGCCATACCTCCTCACGGGCTGCTTTTCGAGAAACTAAATCATAGGTGATGGCCAGCGCGTCCGCAGCGCGCCTGCAGCGCGTTCGCAGCGCGCTGGTCTCAACAAGATCTTTTTTTGAAGGACACAGCCAGTATTTTTACAGTCCGTTTTTGCAAAGCAGTCATAGTTTGATGGCATTGGTAAATGCGCGAGCGCGTTCGCAGCGCGCTGGGCTAAACAAGATACTATAGTAACGTATTGAAGGACACAGCCAATATTTGTTTATAGTCCGTTTTTGCAGAGCAGTCATAGTTTGATGGCATTGCAATGCTGAATGCACGAGCGCGTCCGCAGCGCGTACACCGGCGTTCGCAGCGCGTCTGCAGCGCGTTCGCAGCGCGCTGGGCTAAACAAGGCTATACTATGAAGCACACAGCCAGTAGTGTGTATAAACGAGCAGTCATATGTCAATTTGATGGCATTGGCGAATGCACGAGCGTGTCCGCAGCGCGTCCGCAGCGCGTCCGCAGCGCGTCCGCAGCGCGTCCGCAGCGCGTCCGC